AGCAAATTGGGTAGACCACTCTTCTGCGTCCGAACAAAAGAACACCTGGTCGGGAAACTTAAGGCTAAACCGAACACTCCACTAGGTACGTGTGGCCCACAGAGACATAACGGGAAAGATTTTGAAGTAGCAGTTACCATCCTAGCGCAGGAATCGAAAACACTAAGCTTTCGAAGGATTCTGGCTAAATTTCAAGAAACCAGAGAAAAGAGCCACAGAGAGAAACCAAATGAGACGTTATCACGCGTGGTGTTATACAATATCTCAGAGTGATAATTTAATGTGAGAAAGACACACCATCCTTCCACATAAACTCTGTGCGGTTACTCCCCGCGTGAAATACTCAGTGGAAGTCTCATAGAAAGCGGAGAGTGGGCAATGAAGCCATTTTGCTCTCAGTGCGATTGAAATCTTGGTTTAGTTTTCCTCTTCTTTGATTATGAAGGCGTTTAACTGGGTAGATTGCAGTCATCTCGACCTTTTCGGGTTCTGAAGAAGGTGAAATCTGCCGAAACGCCAGCTTGTTAATGAACAAAGAATAATGTAACAACCTCGTGTTTGCTCGCAAAGCAAACGACGCTAGAAATATCTCGCAATATGGAGAGCGACGATCGGAAGCTTCGACCTACAGTGGTCGTGAAAGGCCGGCGGTTCTGTATATGCCAAAATATCGAAATTCAGATGGGATGGACAAGTGGTGCTTCTAAACGACAACCGATGAACATGAGCCACTAATGACTAGGATGTCAAGCACACCGCAAGAAGGCCAATCCTCCAATGATCAGTATTCTTCACGAAGGCCTTAGAAGAAGAATATAATACTGAGCAAGTCCGTAGAGAGATGAGAACGAACCGTGCTCATATTACACGCGACAGCCCAATTCACCCGACAATCAACAGGGGACAGTTGTTAAGTGACCTCTAATCTATAACGTTTAGGAGTGGAAAGATCGATGAGAAGTAATCAAGCGATCCTTTAGACGTTCTTTCACAGCAAGTTGAGGCGTTGCAACAGCCAATCAGGGCTATATGTAGCGTCTATTCTTTTTTGTTAAATTTTTTAAGCTCATATAAGATATCCTGCCAACGGTTTACCGCCTTATCGTGATTATAGGAGGTGTTCCTGGGTGTCAGGCTGCGATGTACAGAATTCATCTCCGTGGCGGGGTCTCCCAAGTTGAGAAGAAGTTCAGCGTTTCCAACAGGAAGTCTAGCTAAGAGTAAGCCAATACCCGGATTCACCACCGTCCTGGTATCAAAGTCGTATGGTGGCAAATCTCCCTCTGATCCACAAGGGCTGCGAATGGCTGCAATGGTGAAGACATGGGACATACTTTGGCCGGTCATGCCTCATGATTCCAGGGAACCAGGGCAGCTTAACAAGGAAATCTCCGAAAAATGAAGATTATGCTGGGGCCCGCAAAACCAGTGAGCACGTACCCACTCAAGTACCAGGTAAGGCAAGTATAAGATGCTATAGACTCGTCACTGCAGTTTAATGTTGAGGCTTATGTGACGTAGAATGTCGAAGCCGTCATTGGTCGACATTGTTTCAATATAAAATATCCAATGTTAGTCCTCAGTTTACCAATCGTGTTCATGCTCGTTTATAATCAAATCCGTGCTGACGATTACACCAACCTAGTAACATCACGCTTTTCGAAAAAAAAATTCTTCTCCAGTGTCATGAAGGATGTGTAATGGCTGTTACCGACTTTCTCCAGCAGTACTTGATCTTCATACCTCCAACCAGATGCTCTCAGTAGAGGGCTCAAACGTCAGCGTGAACGAGTGGTAAGTACAGGTTACCGTCCTTTCAGGTTTAAGCAATCTTGAATGTCTTTAAAGTTATAGCAGCTTTTCCATGCTTGCGCTACTCAGCACTACCATATCACGGTCTCCTTAAAGGTCAAGGAGGAATGAAATCCGTTGTTTCACAATGTCGTTAATTTTTATTTACTACCTACTAATTTTTAATGGCTAATATTATGTGAAACATAACCATAATTTGCTGAGATATTTGCAAAACTCCGGCCCGTTGGTGTTCTACGGTGCGGACCGAACACGCTATTACCCTTTCCGGGGACTAACGCGTTCACCACCAAACCATGCGCGTCCCTCGTTTCCCATGCCTCTCAGCCGTGTTATAGACCTATAGGCACTATCAGCAATCACTCGTCAACGGGATTGATTTAGGGAGCACAAATCGGCATAAACTCAGTTGAGCTGAAGCAATATCTTTTGCAAATATCTCAGCAACATCATGGTTAAACTTCACTTAATACAATACCATTAAAAATTTGGTAGGCAGTGAATAAAAATTGACATTGTGATTTAACCATAGCTTCAGCTTAATTGGGTTCATGCCGGTTTGTGCTCCTCAGATCAACCCCGTCGACGGGTGATTGCTGATAACGCCTTTAGATCAATAACACGGCATGAGAGAGATGCGAAACGAAAGACCTCCATGGTGCGGTGGTGAACGCATTAGCCCTCGGAAAGGTTGTTAGTGTGTTCGATCCCCATTGTTTAAGTTGCTTTTGGCTACAAATGCACTTTACCTCTGTGTATTTCGCTAAAAACAGCCAATTTATAATTTGTCAGTGCTAACTTCACCGCTTTTTAGAATCGAGATGATACAAGTTACCGTTGTTGACTAGTTGACCCTTTCAAATCTTTTGTCCCGTGTCTGTACTTTGTTGGTTGATTAGCGACAAGGACACAACTAACAAGACGAGTTCCATTGCTAAGTGTCTGCTGCTATTCGGCGACTTAGGCCTCTTCAAAGTCTGTTAAGGAAAGCCTACCGTTTAACTCCTTAGACGGAGTAAGGTCACCCGTGTGCTGTTCGGATACAATGAACAAATAATCACCCTGTTTTCACTGTTGTTCACACCTAGCTCGTGTTGTCCAAACAACACACAGCTGGCCTCCATCTAAGGAGTTAAATAGTGAGGTTTCCTTTGAGGCTTTGAGGAGGGGGAAACCGTCAGAATGTCAGCCATCGAATTTGAAAAAAGAGATACCAGCTCTGTGCTCGCTTAAAGAAGGATAGTTCCTATGATACTGATCATTTATGCTGAGGTTAAGTGAAATTCGATCCTGCGAATTACCTCCCAGGTCCTCGCAACGACCTCTCGTGGACCATATGGACGATTTCTGTAGTGCAACTAGATTTCTTCCACCTGTATCCCCAGTAGTTTCGTTGATTGCCGAGTGACTCGAGCGGGCGCCAGTAAATCTTCCATTTTCCCTGTCGCGTACAAGTGTATCCCAGTGGGTTCTGCTCGCTCCAGGGACTCATCGAGCATCATGTCTTTCTTCTAGGCTTTTCGTGAAGAACTCTGACCATCAGTAGGTGGTCTTCCTGCAGTACGTTTGAGATCCCGAGGAATCCAGTCACTAACGGCTCCTGTCCATCGGTTGTCATTCATACGCATTACCTGTCCAGCCCACCTTATCTTCAACTGTTTGGCGTACAGAACGGCATCTTTGATTTTTGATCGTTGACGCAGGTCGGAGCTTCGGATCCCATCCTTTACTTGTGTGAAACTCCTAGCATCGCCCTTTCAAGTGCGCGTTCGAATTCGAAGATGGTGTAACTGGCGGCCATCGATTTTCACTTCCATATTATCCCATTCCAATGTTCGCATGACGTTCTGGAGGGTAACAATAAATAATTTTGGCGAAATGGTGTTGCCTTGCCTAAACCCTCTGTTGACATCAATGATAATATCGTTGTAGAATGGTGATATCTTGGTTGTAGAATTTTTGTACAGCTAACGAAGAATCTTTATGTACTGAGACTATCAAGGGCGTCCAAGAATGCTTCTATCTCAACTGAATCAAAGACCTTCTGTAAATCGATGTAAGTGAGACAGAGCGGTCTTTTGTACTCTCTCTATACTTCAATGAGCCTTGTTATCGTGTGGATGTGGTCCATCGTACTAAATCTTTTTCGAAACCCTGCTTGCTCACATGGCTGTCCTTCGTCTAGTGTTCTGTCAATCCTGTTTAGGATGGCTGAAAAGTTTGTAGACGACAGACATTAAGCAGATTGGGCGATAGTGGCCGATATCGTGTAGATCACCCTTCTTGAACAATAACACGGTCTTGCTGGTCTTCCACTGAGTAGGGACCTTGCATTCAGACAGGTAACGTGTGAAGAACCGCGCCAGTGTGTTTACGAGGACTGGCGGAAGGTTCTTCAGGTGTTTTGGTCTCATCCTGTCCGGACCTGGTGCTGCTCGATTTTTCACCGACGAAATGAGATGTCGGATTTCGGAAGGGAGAACTGGCGGCACAACATATCCATCCTCCTTTATTTCATACGACAGAAGGTGAACGTGGCTATCGAAGAGATCTGAGTAGTATTTGTGAATGGCTTTCTCCATTGCCTTTCCTTTCTGGACCCTGTAACTGTTCCGTCTAGACGTCGGAGTGCAATCATCTTGGTCGTGTAACTGCCGAAGCTTCGGTGGGCTCTGCGAATGCTTTTCCTAGCCTCTACAGCTTCGACCATTACTGCTGCTCTTCTCTCTCTCTAAGATCTTCTTTTATCGTCTCTCTGCATTGTTTTGCAAGTTCGGATGTTAGTTCGCGGTTGCCTGCAGCTCGTGCGGTTCCACACTGGCGTATCAGCTCGTTTTCTGGAGACAGACATCTCTTGGTGACTTCCGAACTCTCAGCTTTCATAGCGCTAACGTGAAGATGTTGAATGAGCCAATCGTACTCTTCGTCGATGTTATCGACAACGGCATCTTTCCAACAACCGACTAATGAATTGAATAAATCACAGTTTACGGTTGTTCTGGGACTTCGGCTTTGGAATTTAGCAGCTTTTAGCACCTTGAAGAACTACGGCCTTCTGTGTAGAACTTCTCCAAGTCTATGTAGAACGCTTCGACTTCTTCTCTGTCATAGTTTGATGTCGGCGCGTAAACGACGAAAATTGTCAAAGCCCGAATTGACCCACATCTTTTTAGTCGTAAACGTCCGATTCAGGTTGTAAGTTGTTCGAATGAATCGATGTTCATGGACAAACTCGTGTTGGCGAGAACGCCGACGCTGCTGACTCCTCTACTGTCGGATGCTCCGAGGAACACTTCTACGGTGTCATAGACGACGTTGAATGGGTGGCGTCTTCTCGTCTCGGCTAGCCCGATGAAGTCGTATTTTATCCTTCTTGCTTGCATGAACAAGCCCTCTATCGAGGACTCGGATGCAAGTGTACGTGCATTGTAGGTACCGATCGCCACCATAGTTCCTCGTGATCCAGGCAGCTTCCATTGGCCCTGAGCTTTTAGCAGCCTCTTCGTACTCGTCCTACCTAACGCTGCGAAATTGGGGGCTCCTTCGGGGTTAGGGAAATGAGGTCCGTTTTTTCTTACTGTGTTTAGCATTTTGATACCCTTGATACCCGCGTATAGCTTGCTGGGCTCTGAACGTGGGAGCTGGGTATATTCACGGGTAGCTTGCCAGGCTCCCCCAGAGTGGACATGGAGCTTATTTGTTGGAGGCGACTCCTAACCTCTTCCCATATACTTCCCTGTCACTTGATTGCACGCTTTTGGCCGAATTCACTCCCGCAATACAATCCACATGAGCAAGAACGCACCCACACACGCGTGCATGAATACGCCTCGTAGATACAGGAAGTATGTGCCAAATCGGAGCAGCAGAAACAGGGGGTCCATCCCTGGATCCACCTGCCTCTCAGGGAAGCAAAGGTCGCTTTCGGCCCGCGATTAACCACTATCTGCCACCTAGGGCGCCCCACGTAGCCTCGTGACTAACCGGCTATCGGGATCCCTCATATGAGTGAGATCCGCAGGGTTTCTTCTAAAACAGCAGAATTCCTGGGATAGTGATAGTTCCTGTGATTGCTCAATCCACAAGGCATCAAGGGCAAACTTTAGCAAGCTTTAGCTGAATTTACTACAGATCCTAACAAATTCTAAGCAGCATTTGGTTTTTCTTTTCACATTACCATTTATAAGAAGAACTCATGGCAAAATTTCTTCGCCCCGTTTTGGATTCATCTTTTTACGATTAAGCTTTTCCATCGATCTCTTACCATACCCATAGGAAAAGAGGTTCTACAGGGCGACACAATATTTCCAAAGCTGTTCAGTGCCGCACTGCAGTCGATAATGAAGTCACTCGATTGGAATGAGAAAGGCATACGTATTGATGGAATATTCCCATCAAATCTTCGTTTTGCCGACGATATCGTCGTCTTTTCAAGAAGTACAAGCGAAGCAGAGGTGATGATCAACGAGCTCAAGGAAGCGGAGAAAAAGATCGGACTGCGCATAAATCGAAATAAGACCCAGTTCATGAAAAACCCATGGTGCGAAGGCGAAAAAATCGAATTGGATGGCTCTCTCATTGCAGAGACCACCGCGTACGTATACCTTGGGCGATCAATGAACATGGAAAACTACATTAAGGAGGAACTAGATAGAAGAAGGAGAGCAGCTTGGGCCGCATTCGGGCCTCTCAAAGAAGCTATCGACCAACTGAAGGACCCGGAAATCCGCGCTCATCTCTTTGATTCTACGGTCTCCCAGCGCTCTGTTATGCTGCAGAGATGTGGGTTGATACTTCAACTACGTCATGCTTCGAACTACTCACAGAGCGCTTGAGCGATGTCTTCTGAAATACAACCGGCACTCTCATTGTGTAGCCGGAATGCGGAGCTCTGGCCTTCGAAGCCTGTCACATCTTCGAGATCCAGGAGAATATACATCGATAGCGAAACATACATAGGCCGGTCACATAATGAGAAGAACAGACGAAAGATGGACGAAAAGAACAGTAGAGTGGACCCCAAGAGAATGCAAACGTCCCCTAGGACGACCACCTACAAGTTAGGCGGACGTGTTCGTAAACAAAGTTAGTCAGCTGTATTCAACAATATCAAAATTGGCCGAGAGAAAGGTAAAGCGAGCGCCCTAGCGGTGCATTGGGTAACAGGTGAGCCGCCGGAAAGAGTAAACACAAGTTCGAATCTGGCCTGGGTTCTAGGCTTCGCAGAGATCTCAGCATCATAATGGTTGTATTTCACATAATACCTTACCGTGAAAATAGTAATAGGCAGTAGATAAAACGTTAAACATAGGGACTCATAATATTTTAGCAAAAAGGAATTTACGAAGATCAATTGGTGGTAGGTTTTTGAAACTGGGTTTTCAAGTAAATGGATGACAGAGCGTGTGTAGCGCACTGATCGGCGGCCCCCTACCATGCACATGAGATCGATCCTCGCTTCCATGGCTCACCAAGTCTTCCATCGCTCCGGAGTCGATAAATTGGTACCAGACTTGTTTGAGAGGATAGCAGCACTTACTCAATACATCGGTAAACCACCGAGAGTCATTGTAAAGGTCAGATCACTTCAATCACCTCCAGCGATGCTTAATGAAGTCGAATACATGGCGCATCCCTCAGGGTTTGATCAACGCCGAAAGCTTCTCGTCATCTGACATTAGCTTTGAAGCTCTCTCAAAAAGATATAAGGAAACTTTATAGTACAACTAAACCCATAAAGAAAAGCGTTTTGAAACCGAAACCAAACAGGCTCCAGAGCTCCCCCTTTACGGCGACAGATGCGTAGTTTTGCGTGTACTTGGACCAACTGACATTTTATTTATTTTATTTTTTATATGTCCCGTCTTCACGTCTACTATGTCCATTCCAGCACTTCTCACATTCGACTGGTTTCCTTGCGTCCATCATCCACGATGGTCTCTCAGCCTTTCCGTGTGGCTCCGACTTGGAGCGTTCCCATTTGGATTGCAGAAATTTTTTTTCCAGGACAAGTCCGGTACCGATTTCCCAATCCCGGAGGGGTGGGAAGCTTGATGAGTGCAGAGCGGGATTGAACCAGCACCGTTGTTGTGTTGATCGATATTACTACCATTGTGCTATCTGCCTCTGTAACAGTATAAAATATATATGATATGTATGATATAGTGAATACTTTATATGGTAGTGAACTATCACATTATAAAGTTATGAATCAAATAATGGACTCAATAAGATGCTTTTTAACATCACCACTCAGTTACGACCCCAATCTGGTGGCAGAATAGGAGTAAAAATGGATATAGGTCTAATAACCCATGAATGCATCAATGTCGTTCTCCTTAATCGATAGCCGATCGATAATATGCAGTACCAGTACTAGTAACCCGTACTAATGTCCTAGATAGTACCCCATCCACGTGGGTTACACTGGTCTGTGGATTTTCTAAGTGCTCTGGTTTTCATCGTTAATATCTCATGTTCAGTTTCAGTTCATAGCTCTTTAGGGCACTGTGGATTTGATGTCAAATAGCTCACAAATTAAAGAAGTGCCTTATTCAAGCGCAATTATTCAATTACTTTCAAAGTAAAGCTGTGACAATGACGTCACAGGATGTACATGAATCATTCGATGAGAGTTTGAAATTGTAAGTTTACTCCCAGACTTTATGGATCTAGACATTATCTTCTGAGTCTATCCTGCCTGGTGATCACTTCTGTCTTCCAGGAACCCTCAAAGTTCTTCAGTTTCTGGAGAAAAAAGGCATAATGAAGAGTCTGTTTATGCTAACATTTTTCGAAAAAGGTACACTTTTGTCTTTATTTTTTATTTTTACGTCTAAATAGTAGGCAGGTTAGCCTTGGCTCGTTTCAGAACGCGTGGTCAAAGTAGGGAAGACCTGGAAATTCGGGGTGATTTCATGTTTTCACATATGCTTAATGTTACTTTATTTTCATTCAGAGTATAAAATTATGTCTGTTTTTAGAAAGTAGTCCGTGCTCGACGTCTACCATTCCCGGATTTCTTACTCCTGGATTAAAGCTGAAAGAAAACGTCAGCGAAAACGCGTTAAATTCGGCGCACCGTTGTCCATCTTCCGGTACTGCAGCATTTTCGGACGAAGAAGACACGAATAGGTGAGGATTTCAGTTATGTTTTTCACACTTCTTCGTCTATTCGACGACTACCAAAACCGAATTTCTATCAACCACGGCATTAATTGATTTAATCAATAATTCACTGTTTCTTCGCTATTGAGGGAACACGAGGCTGGTCTTATAGCACTTATTAGCCCACAATAGATGACGTTTCGGTGGTTTGGCCTTCGTCAGATCTGTTTCGCTGTTTTTAAGTTCTCCCGTTATTTTTTAGCAATCAAACGAAGTCTTACATGGGCGATGGGCATGAAAAACATATGGTTACAAGGTGCCGAGGTTAAGAGAATGTCGATCTTGGGACTTGCTATTCGTTGACCTTCTCTTACGAGATCATTGTTTTATCGTTTAGAAATCTAGGAAATTTGGGAAAGAAAACAATTGCAGTAATGATTCTGTTGCGACTCCGGACCACTGTTTCATTGGATTTGTTACTGCTGGAACAAACAAAGTTATCACTATCTCGGATTCAGCGTTAGAAGCTGCGAAAAGACGTCTTCATAGCGTCATGGACGACAATGTTCCTAGGTCAGGAAAGCATTCCATCAACTTCGGGTGGTAATTCTTAACTTGAGCGTTAACTTAGCAACTTAAATTCTTACGAGCTGCCCTTGTTTAGCTGACGTGAGGTTTGAATAGGTGTTCTTATTGTCATTGATATTGTTGTTGGATAAATGACTCTTCGGCTAGCATTTATGCCAAGTTCTGTAGAAAGTCGATCTTTCAAGTAACTAACTTCATTTTAGTTCGAGCAAGGAACCTGATGTTGAGAACCTCGATCCTTCGCACTTTTCTGCGACACCCAGTACAAAAAGGTTGTTTTATTCATTATGTTAAGCTCGCTGCTTGTTTTCATACTGTTTTTGCACAGAGAAATGCGGCTTTCTCCTTAGTGGACCAGGTATTGGCCTTAATGTCACCATGATTGCAGCTGCTTGACGAAAATTGTTACCGTAGTACTTAGGAGCGTAATCCATTTAAACTGGTGTTATGTTCGTAAATCAACTGGTTCCCTCTTTACCTATAGTTTTTATAATTCTTCGTGACTGTCCAAATGATACTGTTAATGTTTCTAAACATTTTTGAAAACAGGGGATTGTAGCAGATATTCTTTAAGGTTGCAATTGTTCTTATCTTTAAGAGGAAGATTTGACCTATCACTGATTACTTAATACTGTGCTTAAGATCACTTGGATGTATTAGCGAAGTTTTACTATGGTTTTTCTTTAAGCACCTAGGGTTCTTAATAAAGATATCAGCGGGATCCGCTATGCAACGCTGAGCAGAGTGGATTTCT